GGGAGGGGGCCCTGGTGGGCTGCTGTCCATGGGGTTGCAGAGAGTCAGGCGTGACTGAAGCGACTTAGCCCGCATGCATGCACTGGAGAGGGAAACGGCAACCCCCTCCAGTGTTCTTGCCTGGAGAACCCCAGGGACGGGGGCCCTGGTGGGCTGCCGTCTATAATGAATAGGCATCTTAGTTTGGCTTGATAGACTATGTTTATCAGGAGTCAAATAAGCTGAAGACAGAAACCCTTCCTGTCATTCAACAAGCTTGGATGAAGACACAGCCAGAGATCTCGGAACGTAGAGTTATTGATCTTCATTTATCATCTGCTAAAAGGGTCCAGGGAGAACGTGGCCCTGAATAGGTGGTCAGATTTTGGTTCTGGGCAGGCCAGTTGTTTAACCCAAAGTCCAGACTACATTTTTTGGTTAGCACTTAATCACATAGTGACTGTAAATTTAGGTTCATAAGTAAGGAAAATGAAAAAGCATTTTTATGTGGGAAATTTAGAAGAAAACAGATAATTACTGATTTTTAAGTTATCATTTATCTAAATGATAATCTAGTGTTAAGTGACAAAATAATACACAAATATTACATTTTCAATTTTTTTTGTGAATTTTAAAATCACATTGGTTGACAGTGAAAGTTCAGTTCAGTTCAGTTCAATCACTCAATCATTTCTGACTCTTTGCAACCCCATGAACTGCAGCACGCCAGGCCTCCCTGTCCATCACCAACTCCCAGAGTCCACCCAAACCCATGTCCATTGTGTTGGTGATGCCATCCAACCATCTCATCCTCTGTCGTCCCCTTCTCCTCCCGCCTTCAATCTTTCCCAGCATCAGGGTCTTTTCAAATGAGCCATCTCTCCACATCAGGTGGCCAAAGTATTGGAGTTTCAGTTTCAACATCAGTCTTTCCAATGACAGTGAAAAATGGGCATCAAATTAAAAGTCCAGCAATCAAGTAATGATTTATTAGACTGTGGTATATCTACTTATGAAAATGCACCACAGAACTTAAAATAAATGTTGTGAATGAGTGAAGTTCACTCAGTCATGTCCAACTCTTTGCAACCCCATGGGCTATACAGTCCATGGGATTCTCCAGGCCAGAGTACTAGAGTGGATAGCATTTCTCTGCTCCAGGGGATCTTCCCAACCCAGGGATCAAACCTAGGTCTCCTGCATTGCAGGCAGACTCTTACCAGCTGAACCACAAGAGAAGCCCAAGAACACTGGAGTGGGTAGCCTATCCTTTCTCCAGCAGATCTTCCCTACCCAGGAATTGAATTGGAGTCTCCTGCAGTGCAGGCAGATTTTTTACCAACTGAGCTAAAAATAAACGTTAGGAAGACCATTTAGCAAATGTGGGAAATGTTTTCAATATAAACCAAAGAGGATTAGCCAGGATACATTACTGTATATACATTATGTTTTCAGTTACATAAAAAAATACAAATTCTTATAGAAAAAAGATTAGAAAATGACAGTAATTGTTTTAGGGTAAGAGATAGGAGGTTATTTTCTAAATATATATTTTCTGAAAATGCATTAAAATGTTGCTTTTTTATTGTTGAAGTTTAATAATAACAGGCTTTTAGTAAAAACAAGAATTCAAAATTATATTCATTTTATACATCAATATGCCATTAAATGGCATATGTTTGTCCAAAAAGCAACTGTTAAAAATAATATCCTTATTCTTTCTAGACACAAGCTGTGTCTATTTTTTATCAAATAAATCAATATTAAAATTGCTTACCATTTTTCAGCTTTTGTTTGATAATGAAATCACACATCTCAGATATTATTAAAGCAAACAAAGTTCCAAACAGGAGATGACCACATGAGAAGTAGAAATGTTTATTAAATAAAATAGACCCTCAGACTTCCTCAATCTGTTGTTTTTATTAAAATCTGACATTTACTTTATTTATTGCTTGAGAGTAGGTCTTTTAAAGCTTTTGTTTTAAAATAGGCCTTAGAGAAAGGAGAATTATGTGTTTGACTTCATTATAAATCATTATTTGTTTGACTTGTAAACATAATGGGAAAAACAGTATTCTAACAGTATTAGGGAAAATGAAGGGCCATTAAAGGAAGGGAAAGGGAATACAATTGTGAGAGTGGAAGAACAAAAAACCAAGAAAAAGGAAGGAATTTTAAGTTTTCAAGTGACCTTGGAGATTTGGATTCCCTTGAATTCTATCAGATGGAAATTTCTCTTGGATTATTTTCTCTGATTTGCTGTAGACAGGATTCTGATGAGAAAGCCAACTCTTGTCTCCTTTATAGGCTGCCTTTCACCTGCTTCCTTCTGTATTTAGAAGAACTCCTACATCTTGCAGGCCCAGAGAACAGTCTGCCTCCCTTCCTTATTTTGTTGTTAATATGTTTTCATGCTTGAAAACAACTCCCAGTCTTCCTTCTTTTGGTTTCTGGTAAGCTCAACTTGGCCCGGTGGAAAGTAACAAACACCCAGCTCCATTAAAATTTAAAATCATGCTCTCATATGAAATGCCCTTTTAGCTTTGTTTGTGCGTTACAATTTCACTTTTATCAAAATCAATTTCTAATACTGCATATCTTCCCAACAGAGAGATAGAATGAATTGACAAAACCTTACCCGATTCTGTAACGGGAAAGGAGTCATCTTCCTTTGAAGTAACACATCCAAATATTCAGAAAACAAGGACCTCTCCCTATAGGAACTTACAACAGAGAGCACAACACATACTGCTCGACTAAAACGCACATCGCACGCTAAAAATAGGTCACAAATATAGTGAACAAGCGCAGCTCTCTTTTTTCAACATGAGATCATACCTGGCCAACACTGGAAGTTTTGTAATCCTTGTCTGGGGGAAAACAACAGGAATATTGATCAACAGTGCAGTTTGTATAAAATATTACTGAATTGCACTATCATTAAAGTAGTAGGGAGTGCGATGTCTTCACTTGACCTGATATCCATTATAGCACTCTTACACCATTTTATATTTCAGTTGTGCTTTAGAGATTTTCTTAACTCATTGTGTAGATTAGTTTATTTCATGAACCTGCTAAAAGGCATTTTGACGTCCTGAGGAAACGGTTCCTCCAAAAGAGCTTCCCTTTCATCTCAAGCAGCAACTTCCACCTTGGAAGAGATGGGTCAGTTGTCACATTTCTGTTGTTGCAGTAACTGGGGGATGGTAGCTCGTGAAAAGCACCTTTTGTACTTTGGTTCACTGACAGGTTGCTCTGTGAATTCAACGTATAAATAAATAATGTAGGTCCTGTTTTGTGATTGAAATGAGGGGCAGGCTTAGTTGACCCCTCTGATTTTCGAGCCCCTAGTGGCATGAATATGATTCACAGCACCTTTCGGCCTCATCGGCCTCTACCCTTTGAAGTCAACTCTAATGTGTGGACGTCCATGACCTGTTCTTTGCTGACAGTTCCTCGGCTCTAATGGACTTCGCTTATGCACAGAGGATGACCCCTCTCTTGAACTCTGTCTGCTTTCATTTCTTTTCCTTTCCAGACATCTCTTAGTATTTCCTAGCACGTTCCCAAATCATTGTTTTTGGATCCTTTAGCTCTCTAATATAAAAGATATTCTTAGTACCAAGGTCTGCTTCAAATGTGGTTTGTGTATATCCAACTTTTCTCCCTCCTGTCATAGTATTCAGTGTTTCTGAACGAATACTTGGAAACCAGCCTATCTTAATCATTGTCTTTCATATACTATTTTCCAAAAAGAGATTATCACATTTCTCTCTCTATATATAAATAAGATGTAATTTTATAAAATAACCAATTATACAAAGTTTTAAATATTTTAAAATGTAAAGCTGTTCTCATTTTCTCATTTCTGTCTTTCACATTAGATTTTCTATTGACTGTTTTAAACCACTTATGAGAATCTATATAATAGTGTCATAATAAAATATATAATAACCATCATTCTAAGTCAATAATGCTATTTTGTTTATAGTAGACAATGCAATAATACCTCTGGCTCACTGGCAAATAGTTTTAAAAATAAATGAGTGTATATATATATAATTTTTCCCTCTGGTCCTTTTATGCTGCTTAAATATGCTTAGTCACAAAAATTTGTGTATGCAGTATAACATGAGACTTTGAATATATTAACTACATATTTATATAAATATGTAAATACTCTTATACTTTATCTCTTTCATTGTCTAATGCAAATACATGGGTTATAGTGAATATCATTTTTTGCTTTTAAGCAGAAGCTTCAGAGTTTTATTGGCACTCTTTGTTAGAGCAATTTTAATAGCTAACTACAAATATCTCTAGCCTCAATTTCCACATCTACCAAATGGTCAGAAAAATAAAATATCATCCCGATAAACATTTTCTATCAGTTTTTTAGTCAAGAAAGTTTTGTCCTCATTCTACCAGCCTTTCATCCAAGTTCAGCTCCCTTTTTTCTGTAGTCAGAAAGACTTCATTACTTAAGAAAGTCCTTAGTGAGAGGGAAGGAACCATGTTGATTTTTCTCTGACAGCTGCCCTCTTTAAACTAGTCATACTTCTATTTTTTTCCCCCCCTTCTGAGCTGCTTTCTGATTATACACTAATTTTCTTTGCTCTGTCCCTGATTCTGCATGATCTTTTCCTCCTTTCAAACTAATGTCTTACTAAGTATCTGATGTGGAAAAGGAAGATTTCTGTTGTGAAGAAGGATAAATCTGTTAAATCAAGCAAAGAAATATACTAGGCAATGAAGGTCAGCCTAACTCCAACATATTGCAAAGTTCTTTGTTCTTCCATGCCTTAATAAAAGTGAGTTCATATCAAGAGTCAGATTTTACTGTTCAGAAAGAATAGACTGTATTAGCATCCTTTTCCTTTAGTGAAACTGAATCTTCCTGATGACAATATTAAAAAATTTACTGACATTTTTTGCAAGGCCATTCTCTTAATCATCTCAGACATTGGTAGAACGCGCGGGTGTAAGCCAGCTCTCAGCCGCGTTTGTGTTTCGTGAAGGTTGTTTGATTACCACGGCCGTGTGCCTCCGCCGCCCCGCGCGGTCATCCCGCTGAAGCGGCCCCGAGCGGCAGTGACGACCACCCGCCGGGGAAAAGGAGTTTTCTCCATGAAAGGAGGATCGAGGTCTGCTGTCAGCGGGTCTTCTTCATCCGGCTCGAAATGTAAGTAATCTTCTTGGCTTCCCCGTAAAGAAGGGTGGGGGTGTGCACCATTGTATGTCTTTATTCGGTAAATTAATCAAGAATTATGGCAGGGTTGTTATGTGCGATGTATGAGCGAAATATCAGACGGATAAGAAACGGTCTCTGCTTTCCACTGCACTACGTTGGAGTGGCGCGGTGGAGGCCGACACGGACTTGACTAACAAACCTGGGAGCGATCAGGAAGGTGTTTTATCAGAGCCAAGAACATGCTCTTGGCAAACCTAGCTTGTGACACATCCAAGTTTTGAAATATAATATGCTGCTTTTGGTGAAGAAATAAATTTCACTTCCAAAAAGAGTCATAGAGTATCTTTTCAGAGAAGCAGTATGCAAAATCAGTGCATGTTTTGAATATTTGAGCCCTGGGATAGCTAAGAGGGAAATAGTAGAAAGGCTAAAAGGGTAACTTGCCATACTATTCTAAATCAGGAGAATGGTGTCTGAAAACATACGTAATGTCATAAAAGCATAATACTGATATAACCTCACATGAATTAATAAAAAGTAGAGCTACAAAGCTCCCAACTGAACACATTATTAAGTTTTTATATGGACAGATCCAGAAAACATATAATTTTTGTTATGAGGATATTATTCTTAAGGTAAAGATAGCAGTTTTTCTTGCATTTCTTGAGGTTACAGTCTACAGAGAAGAGACAGACAGTAGCAAGCGAGGTAAAATCTGAGGTTTTAACGCGGTAGATCGTCACTATGTCAAAGAAAAAAGTAGGACGAAGCAACAGAGAGAGAGCAGCGCTGTGTTTCATGGGATGGTGTGTGGCCGCCTCTCTGATAAGGCGCTGTCCGAGCAGAGAGCCCATGGAAGCCGGGAAGGACTGTGCGCGCGAAGCTGTTGGTGGCGGAGCATCTGGGCAGAGAGAAGGGTCAGTGCGGAGACCCTACCGTGGAACAAGGAACCAGGGCCGCAGAGTGAAGAGGAAATGTGGTGGGAAATAAGGCAGAGCCAAGGCGAGTTCCAGTGCGGCCTGTTAGGTCCCTGAAGGGGGTTTCTGGTTACTTTGCTTCTGTCCTTCAAGACAAGCAAAGCAAATCCTTTATCTAAATTTTACTCATGGGTAAGCACAGAGAAGCTAAATCATCAAGCGAAGAGCTGACTCATTGGAAAAGCCCCTCATGTTGGGAAAGATTGGAGGCAGGAGGAGAAGGGGTCGACAGAGGATGAGATGGTTGGATGGCATCACCGACTCAATGGACATGGGTTTGGGTAAACTCCGGGAGTTGGTGATGGACAGGGAGGCCTGGCGTGCTGCAGTCTGTGGGGTTGCAAAGAGGTGGACATGACTGAGGGACTGAACTGAACTGGACTGAACTGAACTGAAGCACAGAGAATGTTACATAGTTGGATGATAGACCCAACACTAAACCCATGTTCCTTCATTCTCATCCCAACATATGCTGTCTACTCTAGAACATTGCCTTCTACCTTTGTGCCATCAGAAATACTAAGAATGAATACTGTTGAGATACTTTGTTTTTATACGAAGAAGTGTGAAAAATAGTTACCCTCAGCACTGATGCTTCTGTTAACTAAGTTTGGTACACTCAGTTTGAATTAGCTAATCTAAATAGCAAATTACATGGATTTACATTTCCCCATATACTGACTCATCCATTTATCTAATTCTTCTATGGATAAAAAAAATGTGAATTCTCTTTTTGAGTCTTAGTAATAAAAGAAAATGAGTTTCTGCAAAAATCTCTAAATAATCTTATATGCTGTCTATTTTCAAAAACAAAGAAAGTTCTTGAATTTGGTTCTTGCTGTGGAAAATTGAGCATTGAATTGTCTGCTATGTTTATAGAATACTTTTTTTTTTTTTTTTACCATAGTTGTATTAAGTTAACTTTAAATAGAAATACCTTGCGCATCTGTGGATGCTTTGCCCTGGAGTCACTTTTAGAACAGTGTTTAGCAATGGGAGTATTATTGCTGTTTTGGCCATGGTAGTTCTATGCTGTGTAAGAATATTCCAAGCTTTGCAGAACATTCAGCATCCCTGACTTTCAAACCTTCAAGGCCAGCAGCACTCTTCAGTCTTTTTAACAACTGTATGTGTGCTTATGCATTTCTAAGGTTTCCTTAAGGAGATGTAACCACCCTGGTTTAGAACCAGTGCTTTCTGGCCATTCTTGGGCAAATGCAGCTTTGTACAACTCAACCACTCGATTGCCGTAAACCTTAGTTTTTCCGCAAACAGTGATAGTTTCCAGGGGTTATTTTGGTGTAAATATCTTGATCTGCAAATGGTTAAGTTGTTTCTGGCCTCTTATTTTTGATTTCTAATCCTCTTGGGTCATAGAGAGAGAATGTGAGTTATAAAATTTTTTTGAGTACCTTAGAATTTCTCGTGGTTTCATAATGAGATTTTGTGGGTGGGAAATAGAATCTATTTTCTGCCTTTGGTATAATGCTATGTGCCTTTTATCTTGTTGGTTGTATCATCCGATCCTCCGTAGACTTTGTTCTTTTGTGGCAAATTGATAAGTGAAATTCTGAAAGTGATTACTTAAAATTCTCTACCAATTAGTGACCTTATAAAGTTCTTCTTTCCTTGAGGTTTTATTTTATATTCCATGTTGCTTGGCTGGTATTTATAGGATATTTTACAGTAATAGTTAAATGATAGCTAACATTTTTTTGATGTTTGTTCTATGGTAGCTATTGTTTTAAACACATTATTAATACATACATTTTCATGTATAAATTAAATATATTAATTCATTTGTTTCTCATAACTGCCAATAACTGAAGTATTGTTATCATTCCCATTTTATAAGTGTGGAAAAATTAAGTGATATCCCTAAAGTCACAGAGCTATTTAATAACAGAGCCCGGAACCACAGCCTGATTCTAGGGCGTCTGTTTCTAGAGTATAGGATCTTATGTCTGTGCCCTTTTTAGTACTGCTTCTCTAAAACTTCTTGGAGAATTGTAACTTTCACATTTATGTAATACTTCATTTTCTATCTGTACTCTAGAATTTTGCTTTTTTTCGATACGTTGCTTGGTTCTTTACTGATAAGACTCTATTTGGTTTACATTTTCCTAGTCTACCATTTATTTTCCCCTTTCTTTGTCATTAGTTTACCAGGACACATGTGATAAATTATGACAAATTGAATGGTTTAATGACAAATATTTAGAGGTTGAACATCTGAGATCAAGGTGTCGCAGAGCTCTGCTCTGTCTCTGGAAGTTCCACGGACAGTCTGTTCCATGCCTTTCTCCTAGCTTCTGGAATGCTGCAATCCTTGGCATGCCTGGGTTTACTGACCAAACGCTCCAGTCTCTGCCTCCATCATCACACGCGCTTTTCCTCTGTGTCTTTGTGTCTATGCATCTTCTCCTTTTTTTATGAAGACATTAGTCATATTGAACTAGGACTCACTCAATAACCTCATTGTGATTACATCTACAAAGATGTATTTTCAAATAGGTAACATTTCCAGGTACTGGGATTGGGACTTATCTTTTGAGAGAACATTTTAACCAACACCACTATTACTTTATTTTTGCATAAATTTTTTCCTAAAATAACATATATCTGGACCTTGTTTTTGAAAGCCATATGAAAGTCTTTGTTTTTTACAGGGAAATTTAATTATTTTATGTATGTTTTACTCACTAGCCTGTTAGATTAGTTTATATTTCATCCATCCTAACTCCAAGGATTTAAATTATTGTTTCCTCTCTTGTTCCTTTCCTTATGCTTGTTTAATGATTTGCTTTTAATTCTATCTCTTCCCTCACAACAGTCTTAATTTGGATATTCTACTACATCCCTCTTTTTCATTAGTGACTATAATAATATATTAAATTTGTATAGATAAAACTACTTTATCTATTTCTCTCCTAAAATTAAACAATACCTATTCTAACTCGCATTGACGACATGGATTTTAGAAAGACTGTACTTCATCACTCCCAAACCCCATATGTTCCTGCCCCTTGAACCTTCCTCCCAACCCCCACCACGTCCTGCCCCTCTAGGTTGTCACAGAGCGCCTGGTTGAACTCCCCATGTTGGACAACTTCCCAGGAGCTATCTGTTTTACATATGGTAATGTATATTTTTCAGTACTGCTCCCTCAATTCCTCCCATCCTCTCCAGCCCCCACTGTGTCCACAAGTCTGTTCTTTATGTTGCATCTTTATTCCTGCCCTGCAAATAGGTTCCTCGGTACCATTTTCCTAGATTTCATACATATGCATTAAATGTTTGATATTTGTTTTTCTCTTTCTGACTCACTTCACTCTGTATAACAGGCACTAGGCTCATCCACCTCACTAGAACAGACTCAAATTCACTCCTTTTTATGGCTGAGTAATATTCCATTCTATGTATGTACCATGACTTTATCCATTCATCTGGCAACAGACATCTGGTTGCTTCTGTGTCCTAGCTATTGTGAATAGTGCTGCAGTGAACGCAAGGGTACATGTGTCTTTTTGAATTATGGTTTTCTCAGAGTATATAGGGCTTCCTAGGTAGCTCAGCTGGTAAAAAATCCACCTGCATGCAGGAGTCTCTGGTTTTTTTCCTGGGTTGGGAAGTTCCCCTGGAGATGATGGGACAAGCTACCCACTCCAGTATTCTTGGGCTTTCCTGGTGGCTTAGACGGTAAAGGATCCGCCTGTAATGTGGGAGACCTGGGTTGAATCCCTGAGTTGGGAAGATCCTCTGGAGGAGGGCCTGACAACTCATTCCCATATTCTTGCCTGGAGAATTCTCAGGGATGGAGGAGCTTGGCGGACTACAGTCCATGGGGTCCCAAAGAGTCAGACATGACTAAAGATAGCAAAGTGTATATGTGGTAATAGTGTGATTGCTGGGTCATGTCGTGGTTTTATTTCTAGTTTTTTAAGGAATCGCTATACTGTTCCCTATAGTGGTTGTATCAATTTACGTTCCCACCAACAGTGTAAGAGGGTTCCC